AAATTAATCGTTATCGGCTAAATACCACAATTAATCGTGATTTATTTTTTTGCCAATATTGCCCAACCCTAATTGTAGGTTCAGTTTGTAAAAACCATAGCAATTCTGCCTTTGTGCTCCTGTGCTCTTTAATGTGTTAAAGCATATTGTTATGGGAATCAGTACCTACTGACGCAAAGACATCCTGGCTGGATGTTTGAAAATCAGAGTCCGTTCTCTTTCCAGTGGTAAATATTATGTCTGCTGAATGCAGCAGCTCTTATCACGGAGCTAACGTTCGAACGCCCCTCGAGCTCAGCATTCTGTCAGAGCATCTGTCGATCATGGATCCCAGAATATTTAGCCATCACTGCAGAATACCCTGTAATGGAGTACTTCCAGAACTTAGTGACATCTCGTAATGATCAGCGCTCCTTGAAAAGGTCTTGTTTCCTGACTGTTAGCTGTGCATATGTATCCTGACTGACAGCATTTTTCTGCTGTTTATGACTGCGTCTGTGTGCCCCCCTCATTTCGACAGAGGCAGCGAGAGCTGAAAGGCTGATAAGGTTCTCGTCTCCGTCCAGCAAAGGAATGTGAGCACTTGACAGCAAGAAACCTTGGCTGAGTGCCAGTTTCAGACCTCTTRTATTAACTATAGTTGTGCAAAGGAGTTCATGAGCACTCAGCATTACCGTACCAAAGCACAGTCCACAAGAACTAACAGCCAAAGATAATGACAGACCTGATGAGACAGAGAAGCTCATTTAGATTCAAAAATAACAAGTGACAGAATATGGCTACTGGTAATGGTGCTTTGCATAGATATTTTTTTATTTTTGAGGGCTTGAAGAATCTTGTTAATCCCTTAAAACATTTTTTCTTTAATAGATGATGAATCTGAGCAGCACCACAGCACAATGGTGGGAGATGGGGGCAGCACGGGGGACGATACCCCAAAGCGCAAAGGCAAGTTTTCCACTCTTGGCAAGATCTTCAAACCCTGGAAGTGGCGTAAGAAGAAAAGCAGCGAGAAGTTCAAGGAAACATCTGAAGGTTTGTGTTGTAAACTCATTGTGTTTGCAGTTGGAGTGGACCCCCACCCTTTGTCAGCATTCCTCAATGTTTGTTCTCCTGCATGAATGTTAGAATCCCTTTTTGGCTACTTTAGGACAACACAACATTGCATTGTAGTGACAAAGGAAATTTAAACACTGTAAATCCTGTGTGTTGATGGCAGAACTGGAGAGGAAGATGTCGACACGGCGTACACGACAGGAGCTTATAGAACAAGGGGTGCTGAAGGAGGTCCCCGACAACGGTAAGAAGCCTTCATCTGATCTCTCTGTGGTGTCTGTTTCTGACACAAGCCACCCCGAAGCGACCTTATCCCCGCAGACGCTGCAATTTAAGACATCACTACATCAGAACAGGTGTCTGAGACATATTTTAAAACAGGCTAATTCACTTGCTGTTTTTATTTTTATTTTGCTGTTTTCATAGTCCTTTAATACAAGTTAAAAAACTACATGCCACTCTGCGGAGCTCAGGAAAAGTGGAACAAATTGTGCCTTGCAGCATTTTAGCTCAGAGAGGAACGTGTGCAGGCTTTCTGTGGGCCCTGCTGTTTCCGAAGCTCATTTATTAAGCCTACAGCTGCTGCTTCATCACTCCAACAAACACTGAATGTGTCTTGGGGGGAGCTTGACTTAGGGGTGTATTTTTTTAGATCCACCCATTTCTTTACCCGCTGCTCTTTTCCGGGTCGCAGGATGCTGGTGCTTATCTCTGGCAGTCATTGTGCGAGGGGACACTATGACCAGGTCACAGGCCATCAGAGGGACACAAGGAGACAAATTACAATTCAAATTTGGACTCACACCAAGAGACAATTTAGAATCACCAATTAACCAAACATGCGTGTTTTTGGTCTGTGGGGGAAAAAAACAGAGTACCCAGAGAAAACCCATGCGTGCATGGGAAGAACATGCAAACTCCGCACAGAAAGGCCCCAGGCTGGGAAGCAATGTGCAACAGCTGCAACCACTGCTCTGCCTTCTTTATATCCCTTTTTTTCTTTTTTTTTCTATTACTGCAGCCATTTTTAATGTGTCAGAACATTAAAAAGAAAAATCTACCACCCGTTGTAAAGATAGGTAGGTAGTGAACTTACTAAGCTCTGCATCTAGGAGGTGGGAATGACTGAGGTTATAAACAGAGCTTCTGCAGGCTTAAGGGCTCGACATACGGGAGGCGACGTCGCTCGCTCTCCATTCATTTCCCATGGAGCTTGTGTGATGAGGCGACAATCGCTTGCCCTCTTCCAGCCAATTTTGCATATGGAATTTCGCACTRGTACACGTAGACGCGCACACGTGAGCTTGCGACGCAACATATGAAAGTTGAAAAATGTTAAACTTTTGTCACTGTCGCTTGGCGTACAACCAATCAGTGAGGGTTTCATTGACTGACCAATGAGCGGAGAGGATGCTACACACTGCAGTTAGCTAACACTTTCACCAAGTGATTACTAAAAAAGGCAGCTTTATGGGAATTTGTTGGCACCAGGGTGAAGTTATCCGGTAAGTTTTTCTTCATAAAATCGTATCTTGGTGTGCGTTTGTTTTTCAATGTTATTAGCATTGCAAGATTTGTTTAGTTGTCCATAATGCACACCCCCCCCTTTTTTTTTTTACAAACCACTAATAACCTTTACAAGAGGCAGTAGAAGAACCAATCAAATTTCATGAAGACAAGCGACCCAAGAGCGCGATTTGCAACGCTGCAGTCGCTATCACGTCCCGTGTGTTGGGTTTCACCCTGGTTGCGATGACAGCCGTTAATCGCTGTTGTTTGTCTCTCCCCGTGTGTCGAGCCCTTTGTTAGGATCTTTCAGAAGATGCCTCAATCTCAGGGACTGACATGGCTCCTCCCCACCTCTGTCCATTCAGAAGACGCGGGGGGGGGAGGGGGGGGACTGAAACACACTACCTCTGTAGCACCTCTGAATCGTCAGTAATGATAATGGACGGATGACATTTATTATGGAGACAATACTGATGTGACAGCACATTTGTAGTTAGTTTAAATAAAGACTTAACCAGAAAAAAGAATGGCTAAAGGAGTTCATTCATTATGTTTTATGTGAATGATACGAGGCAGACACGTTGTGGAACTCTTATTTGAAAGGGGCGATTTCTCTGTGAGCAGCCTGTTTGTTTGGTAGGATCTTGTATGTCTTGATGCTTTCATGTATTCCAAAAAAATATTATTTTCACAAAACATTTAACTTGACAAAGTTAAGAAGAAACAGCTTATAGAGCACCAACAGTCAACTTCTTAAGATTCAAAGATCCCGYATGAGCTCTTATTTATTACTAACTTGGCTTCTGTTAGTGACACGGTATAGTTGTTAATTAACACAAATAAACCAATAAAAAATGATGTAGCAAATTCGACAACCCATTACCCAAGCTGGAAGATGGCAGCCCATAGTGAGAGTAACACCTTTTCCCACGCTTGCATGCTTTTTATAGATAAATGTGTGATGTTGATGTGCACAACTTAACACATTCTACAAACAATGCACGCATGTTATTAATAATGAAGTTATTATTATTTTCATTAGAATATAACGTAACCACAGTGTACAAGTGTTTCGACTCTGTCATTGATTGAAGACTTTGAACATTGTACTTTTGTTTGTCACTTTAGGCTTCCTATGGCTCCATTTGTTTACTTGCCTCTATGCTCTGATTGTTTACATGCCGCTTGTCTGACCTGATTAACAGAACACGAACACGCATTCATTCTGTGCAGATAAAACATACTGTAGTTCCTTCTCTTGCWGTTCTGTAGTTCTGGTTTTTTGCTCCCAACCTAAACACTAAACGGTTCTGTTTCATTTCTCTTAAGCTGTTTTATTTCTATGATTTCAGATCTGACACGTTTAAAAAGAAATAATTGCTTTTTTCTCTACTTCCCTGTTAAGTGTCTCGGTTTCACATCAAGGAAAACGACACGTTTCTTTTTTACTTCTTGTTTCTGAGTCATGTTTATATAGTTTGCAGACACATGTAAATGACTTAGCGTGAGAATAAAAGCCAAATAAATGTAGGTTTGTATAGGGCTGGGTATCATAGCCAATTCTCTAAATCGATTTGATTTTGATTCATTAAGTTCAGTATCGATTAATCACGATTTGATTCGATTCAATGAAAATGTTTATTGATATTGTATTTTGCGACTGTGTTGCAAAATGCAATATCACCATTTTTTTCCTTCAACATAAACAACAGGTTTTAAGGACAAACTTTTAAATTAAACTGTTTAATATTGAAAGAAAACTGTCACAAATATAAAAAGTTTTAAAGTAAAAAGGAATTGCAGATGACAGTGTTGTTGGATGCATTCATTTTGAAGTAATTAATAATTATTTTGATAGATAAGAAGTGATGTGAATAAGGTCACAGGAGAAGAGGTGGGCTTATATAAATCTACTTCTGCCCACTCCTTTTGAGTGTATGAATAATTGTGAATGGGTGTTCTGAACTGTAATTTTATTGTGCTCTGTACAATGACAATAAAGGCTTATCTTATCTTATCTTATCTTATCTTATCTTATCTTATCTTATCTTATCTTATCTTATCTTATCTTATCTTATCTTATCTTAT